CCGCCTCGTGGGGTGGGGGGCTCACCATAGCCAGGGACCACCCGGTCACTCCTCCCCCCCGTACCCGCCTCGTGGGGGGCTCACCATAGCCAGCGACAATGGACGACAGGCAGGGCACCGTGACAGCAGCCGCTGGGGGGCAGGGGGCAAGTAAGGCCAGTTTGGGAGCGTGACCCAGCGACCCCACCTCTACCTGGGCCACCAGCCCCCATCATGTTCCCCCGCCCCCCGCCAAGCCCCACAGGCCTGCTCACCAAAGGAGTAGAGCAGCAGGCCGAGGCCCAGCACGGGCAGTGAGTGCGCCCAGCCGATGAGGAGGAAGGCGGGCACCAGCAGCAGGATGGCCTGGGGGGCGCAGCAGGCCTCAGCCCCGGGCCCTCCCCTGCTCTCTGCAGAGCCCCGGGCACTGCCCCCCACTTGAGGAGAGCCCTTGGGCACTGCCCACCCACTTGAGGGAGAGCCGAGACCCCATACCCGCTTCACTGCTGCGCGTTCCCTGCCGGGGCGGATGCGCCGGGCGTAGGCGCCCTGGATGGTGGCCATGGTGAGGCCGATGAAGAAGAACATCTTGCCCTGCTGCAGGCTGGGGGGGGGTTGTACGGGGGGGGGGCGTGCCATGAGTGCCCCCGCCACAAACAGAGCCGGGGATACAAACCGCTGCCTGGGTCCCTTGGCTGGCCTCAGGGACAGGCCAGGGTGTGTGTGGCCACAAGACTTCCTGGAGGGGGGCACCTCTAAGAAGGGGAGGGTTTGGGCAGAAAGAGGGGAGGAGGGGATCTCCAGGGGGCCGTGTGGGGCCGCCCCTGTACCCACCTGTTGAACTGGAAGCGTTGGTGGGCAAGGAAGCTGAGCGTGTACTCCAGGCCCGAGAACAGGAAGAGGTAGAGGAAATAGACCAGGCCCAGCTGGCGCAGGCTGTGGAGCCCTGGGGAGCAGTGGGGTGGGCGGTAGGGAAGGGCTGGCTGGGGTGGAACCTGGGGCAGCCCACTGAGGAGGAGGGGGCACAGACACTTACTGTCTCCAGCTGGTGGATCCTGGCCACGGGCCACGGCCGAGAAGCGGAGCAGGGCCAGGGGGCTGAGCAAGTCGACAGTGGCTCGGAACCCCAGGGTAATGGAGGGCGCCTGGTGGGCATGTGGAATCACAGAGGTCAGCCAGCAAGGCCAGCACTCCTGGCCCCTCCTGGCAACCCAGGGACAGGAGTGACCCCAATCTGCTGGGCCCTGCCCCCTATGCAGGAACTGTGGCCCCAAGACCCTTGGGACACCTCCCCTTGGACCTCCCAAGCAGCCCCTTGGCCACCTCAGGGCCAGTCATGCTCTGGTGGGCTGGCCTACCCGCCGCTCTGGGGGCAGCGTCTCCGGCAGGAAGCAGAAGATGAAGAGCAGGTCGGAAGCAGCGAAGAACAGTGCCAGCCAGGGTGCCGTCTCCACCTGCAGGGTGGCGCCCAGCAGAGGGCCCAGCGTGAAGCCCAGCGAGAAGGCCACCCCGATGACGGCCTGTGGGAGAAGGCCCTCAGCTGTTGGGCACCACACCAGGAGCCCCCAGCCGGCCCTCAGCCCCTGGCCTGTGTGTGTGTGCTCACCATGCCTCGGCTGCGGGCCTCCGGCGAGCCCAGGTCAGCGACAATGGCCGTGGACAGGCTCACATTCCCCTTGCTGATGCCCCCGATCACTCTGGAGGCCAGGAAGGCAGCAAAGCTCCTCGAGGCGGCCCACACGGCATAGGAGATGACCAGACCCGCCTGCCCGCCAGGTGGTAACAAGGGACAGGCAAAGTCACTTGAGGCCAGAGGGGCCCCAAATGGGGCTGGCAAACCCAGGCAACCCCTCTCACCCCCTGCCCTCCACTGCTCCGGGCATCCCAGGACCACTTCTGTTCCCCTAGTGGACCCAGGACCCCAAAGGCTCAGGGGCATCTCTGGGACAGACCAGCTTAGCCACAGGAGCCAGCACCCGTTGAACACACATAGAGGTGGTGGGGGGCCCTGAGGGGTCACAGCGTTCCTCCTCCCCCAGCCTGCGCTGACCTGTGAGCCTCCCCTAGCCTGGGCTGACCCGTGTGCAGGCACGTACCAGGGACAGCAGCATCAGTGGGCGCCTCCCCAGGCGGTCAGAGGCGGCGCCCGTGAGCGGGGCTGAGAGGAACTGCAGGGCGGAGAAGCCGGAGCCCACCAGACCTGAAGAAGCCGGCGGTCACGATCACGCGCGGTACACGCGTCCCCGCCCCGAGGGTCTGATGCCAGCGCGGCCTGCTCTCCGGGTCACCCAGCCTCAGCGCCACCGGAGAGGAAGGACGAGGGCGTGGAGATGGGCAGACGTGCCCAGAGCAAGACGTGTGGACGAGGACCCCGGGCCGGGGACTGGAGCCCGCGACGACAGGACCCCAACAGGCCCACTTGGGGGTCGGGGCGTACCTCCAAATAGGACGCTGTTGTACCGCTTCTCAGCTGGCATCCCGATGGCGGAGGCGAACCAGTCCACCCCGCGCTGCCATAAGCCATAGAGGGGATCCTGGGGGCACAGACGGCATGATGGAGGCGAGCCAGGTCAGCCGTGGGGCCCGAGCGGGGCGCACCGAGCGGGGCGCACCTGGGCGCGGCCGTGGCCCTCCAGCAGCCCGGGCAGCAGCGGCAGCAGCAGCGTGAAGGCCAGGAGGTCGAGCAGGAGTCCCAGGAAGACCACGGTGACCACGCGGCGCTCGGACGCGGGCTGGGGGCGGATCGGGGGGCGCGGGGTGCAGCCTTCGCCCCCGCCTAGTCCCATGGTGCCGTCGCGCCGACTCCGGCCTGGCTGCGGGTCGTGGGAACACGTGAGGACCCCCAGGCCGCCCAGCCTGTCACCGGGGACACCGAGCCCGCCGGCCCCCACCCGGCCCGAACCGCAGGGGACCGTCCGCCTCGCACAGGGGATCCATCCCGCGCTCGGGGACCGCGCCGGCCCGGGCGGCAGGAAGGTCGGCTTGCGTAAGGAAACGGCCGGCACAGCGGCCACCCAGGCCGGGCGGGGGATCCGGCCCGCACCGCCCCCGCGTTCTCGGACGGCCCGGCGGTGGGCGCTGCGGGCTGG